CTTCTATATATATATATATATATATATATATATATATATATATATATATATATATATATATATATATATATATATATATATATATATATATATATATATATATATATATATATGAATAAATCTTATGAAGTAAACCAGGTTTATTTTATCTTTATTTATTTATTTATTTATATATATATATATATATATATATATATATATATATATATATATATATATATATATATATATATATATATATATATATATATATATATACTGGATCCAGAAAGTTTGACCTTCGAATATATATATATGTCGGCCATTGTGAATTTTCTTGGGTTAATTATACGCGAACGCATACATCAAATGTCGCTCGCAACGTACTGTATATTGCAATATTCCAACAGCTCAAGTAAGTAGAGGATCATTGCTTGAAGTTCTTACACATACTTGTAGTAGCTATCTAATGAACATTTGAGGGTTGTTAGCTAATTAACTCTTGTCACAATTTGGAACCTGATCTTTTTGGCAGGTCGTAATTTATTCTTTTGCATCCTTAGAGATTTAGACGCTTATTAGCATGCCTCGATGAATTTCTTTGTTTGTTCTTTCGTATTCACTTGTGCTTATTTTATAGCTGTAACCTACGTCCAGAATTATTATACTAAAGAGTTTGGCAACCTAGAACGGCAACGACAACTGCAACAGGGAAAATATAATTGCTTATATTGTTGTATTTGAGCCAAAGTATACGTTACTACACTTAATTTGCCTCATTAAGTATTCCTGTTTCTTTCAAACGTACCCTTAAATAAAAATAGTCCGCGAATTCAATAAAACTCTCAAATAACATCGAACGAATGAATTGTTGCCGTAGTCATGCACCGTGAAAATGATGCAAATCACGTATTAGTTTCAACAACTACGGCATTGCACAACGCTTAAGACCATGTAATTTACATTCGCCTTTGTCTTTGAGGATTAATGCTATTGTTAATGACCATATTGCCGTTGCGGTTGCCCTTGTATTTGCCGAACTCTCTATTATATTTTGCCAACGGAAATTTTAACGGAATCGATAGTCATTCGATATTTCATCCCCTGAAACTCAGCACACGCAGCATTCGTGACCTGGCGAAGCAGAAACGTTCATTTCCTACTAGCCATTATGTTCATTTCCAAATGTTCATTTCCTACTAGCCATTATGATTATGTGCAAAGACATCAATCAATGATTCTTTTATTCATTTGAGCTGTTGGAATAATATTGCAATATACAATACGTTGCGAGCGACATTTGATGTATGCGTTCGCGTATAATTAACCCAAGAAAATTCAAAATGGCCGACATATATATATATTCGAAGGTCAAACTTTTCTGGATCCAGTGTATATATATATATATATATATATATATATATATATATATATATATATATATATATATATATATATATATATATATATATATATATATATATATATATATATATATATATACACTACAATGATAAACCTCTCTTTACAGGTAGTTTACCAGTGTCTACTTGAATTAACACTCTACATAATAACAATATTAGTATGACATTAGTTGTGGGTTATCCCATTCTTTGTTACGCTTACAGAATATATAATACGAGGACCTGATACATATGTTAATAATTTTCCGAACATAGTACTTTCTACATTGTTCATCAAACTTTAGATCCTTCAGCATTTCGGTGAAATCTAGCGACGGGTGGCTGAAAAGTCCTAATGAACTAATCAATAAATTTACAAATTTTAATTTTTCATAATTTTTGAGCTGTTCCTTAATTAGATCTTGATATTTTTGTCCTTTTCGAGTTGCATTAGTGAGGAGATTAGATTCAAATCCGACGGTAAGTTCAAGTATATAAATGCATTTGTTTTCAAGTGTTATCAAAAGATCAGGGCGCAATTCATCTCCGGTGAGAAAAGATGGACTGATATAGCCAGGAAGGTCAGCATAAAAGTTACAATGGTTCACAGATTTAAGTATGGATGCTATGAAGTTAAGCACCGAGTCATGACGCCACGGGAAACGTCCTTCATTTAGGTAGGTCTTGCATCCAGCGACGACGTGAAGAAGTGATTCTGGATTCAAACAAAACGAACATTCGGATGTTGGTAATATTCCCCATTTCAGAAGGTTTTTGCGAGTCGGAAGAGTGTTATTTATATACCGGATAGTGAAGTTAAATATATTCTTTGGAAGTTTACTCTGAACGGAGGACCATATAGAGTTGAATGAGAGTGTAGAATGTTTAATGATATTGGAGAAAAATGAGCCTTGTGAAATGAGGTGGTGTTGAAGCTTGTATTCAGGTTGTTTCCTGATGGTGTTTACTAAGTCCTTGGTGTTTTTGTATTTGTCATATTGTACATTTTTGTGATTGCTAGTATCCTTCCAAAGGTAATTGATCGCTTTATTTGGGGAGGACTTTAGGGCTTTCCGAAAAACAGTTTGGCATTGAAGGAATTTGTTTGAAGGTAGAATGATATTTAATCCAAATTTATTGTGGAGATGTAGGACGTTACTAAGGGTTGCAGAAAGAAGAAGTTCAAGCCATTTTCGGATATACGTGGACGCGATACTATCTAGTTTATCGTTAACCCAGGTTTTGCCTATGTCAGAAACAAAACAGTGAAGTGCCAAGAGATTTTAATAATAATAATAATAATAAAAATAATAATAATAATAATTATAATAATAATAATAATAATAACAATAACGAAAACTTTATTAAATGGATATTTAGCTTATATATACAATTGCAAATCTCACTTATATCAGGTAATTTACAACTGGCTACTTAAATCACTGATTATATATGCAAAAATTATACTATTAAGATAAAAAAATGACAGTACAACGTTTAAACACTTAACAGTTCCGGATTCATCCATTCCTTGTTTCGACAACAAAATATATAATACGTTGTTCGGATTGCAATCATCGTCATTCTTCTAATACAGTAATTCTGATGTTGCTTTTGAAAACCAAAATCATTAAGCATTTCTATGAAAGTAGAACATTCTTTACTGAAAACACCAAGAGAACTAATCGAAAGATTTACAAATTTTACTGAGTTGAAATGTTCATTTTGTTCCCTAATTAATTCTTTATATTTTGATTTTTTACGCTCAACGTTTTTTTGAAGATTTGATTCGAAGCCAACTGTAAGTTCAACAATGTAGAGTGTTCCGGTTGAGGTTGAAAGAAGCAAATCTGGACGGTAGGTGTCACCAGTGATGATTGATGGACTTTTGTACCCTGGGAGATCCACGTAAAGATGTGAGCCGCTTACGGTCTGCAGGCTTGTTGCGAGAAAGTTTAGAACGGAGTCATGTCTCCACGTGAATCGTTCTAGATACGATTGGCAACCAGCTACTACGTGCAGAAGTGTTTCAGGAGCTAGACATCGCGAACAGTCTGAAGTCGGTGATAAACCCCATCTTGCAAGGTTTTGGCGCGTTGGAAGGGAGTTATTGATGTATCGAACTGTAAAGTTGAATATATTTTTCGGAAGGTTCGATTGGCACGCAGACCAAATTTTAGTGAGTTGGGACAGTGAGAACTTTGTTATATTAGTGAAGAAAGAGCCCTGACAGGTTAATTGAGTATGCAGTTTATCCTCTTGGCCAGAGCGAAAGTCCTTGAGAACTTGCTTAGTGGAGTTATAAACGTCATACTGAATATTTTTGCTGTTGCTAGTTGCTTTCCAAAGATCGTTAATTGCTTCGTTTGGGGATGTTTTTAGGGCTTTACGGAGAACAGTTTGACATTGAATAAATTTGACAGATATGATGGGGGAGAAATACTGAGGCCAAACTTGTTGCGGGTTAGGAAAACACTGCTTAGCGTTACGTTCCAGATATAGGTATATCAAGCCATTTACGGATATAACTGTTGACTTTGGAATCAATGTTTTCGGTGACCCACGTTTTCGATACGCTAGAAACTGTAAAATGCCAGGATAATTTTGACAGAAGATATCGACTGTAGAGGAGGATTTTATTTTTTGGATGTAATGGTTTGGAATCAATATCTGCCATTAGTTCTTCAACGAGTGAGATTAGTTCAGACTTGTGGTGTTCGTCTGACATATTAAAACTAAAGTATCTTCCTAAGTATTGAAAAGCCTCACCGATATTGATCTTTGGAATTAGTTGCTTGTTAATAAGTAGTTTAGGCAGGTATTGGATTGATTTTGTTAGAGCTTTTTTGATGCCAAAGGTACTACATTTATCAACCCGAATAATCATGTTGGACCATTGGCACCAAATGGAGAACCGGTTTAGAAGATGTTGATTTTCGGATTCTTGACTACTTATGACGGCGGCATCATCAGCAAACTGAAACCAGTGGATGGGATTTAGAAACTGTAAGGAGAAGCCGAATTGACGATATTTATCTGTTTTTATGTGTTGTATAAAGGTGTTGAAACACATGTTGAAGAGAAGAGGACTCAGGCAATCACCTTGCAATACTCCACGGCGAACTGGTATGAAGGGGGTACGGAATTCAGATGTAATTATTGAAGTTTTAAAATCGGTATATAGACTTTTAATTATCAATTTAACATGTTCAGGGATATGGTGGTAATCAAGTACGAATGTGATCAGATTATGATGAACTTCACCAAAAGCATTCTTGAGGTCAAGTAGGGTGATGACTAGTGAGCGTTGTTTGATTCGGGCTTTATTGATTATATTGGCCATTTGTGCAGTATGTTCTAAGGTGCCAGACATGTTAGGTGTGAATCCTTTTTGAATATTATGTTCTATAAAGTTATTAACGGTTAGGAATGAATACATTGCGTTACGTAGGCAGGAAGTGAATACTTTTAATGGTATGGTCTCCAGTGTGATGGGTTGGAAATTGGACGGGGTATTAGTATCGCCTTTTTTATGGATTAGTATTGTGCAAGCTTTCTTCCATTCTGAAGGGATGGTTCCAGATAGCCACACGGCACGAATAAGGTCAGTTAAATATGTTCTTAGGAAAGGACAGCGTTTAAAACATATAATAGATAGCTGATCAAGGGGACATGGGGAGCCAGATGCCTTCGTTCTGCGTATTATATTCGTGACTTGTTGATACGATGGGGAGTCAAGGTCAAATAATAATAATAATAATAATAATAATAATAATAATAATAATAATAATAATAATAATAATAATAATAATAATAATAATAATAATAATAATAATAATAATAATAATAATGGAAACTTTATTTATTGATTATTAGGATATATACAACTACAATGATAAACCTCGCTTTACAGGTAGTTTATCAATGTCTACTTGAATTGATACTATATATTTATTGTACAATAATTATTTTAAGAAGGATTATATTAACATTAATTTTGGGTTATCCCACACCTTGTTTCGTTTACAAAATACATAATATGATGTTCGTATGCATATGTTCACGATTTGCTTTTTTATGTATTTACTATACTTGGCATCACATTTAAGGCTACTTAGCATGCCATCGAAATTTTTACAAGATCGGCCAAAAACTCCGAGGGTACTCAAGGATAAATTGACGAACTTGACTTTATCATAATCTGCTTCCTGCTCATTGATTAGATCACGGTACTTTTGACGCTTACGATTGGCGTTAACTAGCAGATTGGATTCATAACCGACTGTAAGCTCGAGGATGTATAGACATCTGGTTTCAGTCACCAGCAGAAGGTCAGGTCGTAAACGATCTCCCGTGATAACAGATGGATTCATAAAACCAGGAATGTCCGCGTAAAGTGTGGAATTTTTCACAGCAGTAAGAGTGGATGCGAGGAAATTTAAAACAGAATCGTGTCGCCATGTAAACCGGCCTTCGTCTAAATATGTCTTACATCCAGCAATCACATGGAGCAGCGTTTCAGGTGAGGAGCAGAAAGAGCAATCGGATGTTGATGATAGTCCCCATTTTGATAGGTTCTTTCGTGTTGGAAGTGTGTTATTGATATATCGGATGGTGAAGTTAAAAATGTTTTTCGGAAGTTTGCTCTGAACGGATGACCATAAAGAGTTGAATGTGGATGTGGAATGATTCATGATACTGGAAAAGAAAGAACCTTGCGAAATGAGGTGGTTTTGAAGTCTTTGTTCGTTTTCTTTTCTAACTGCCTTAAGTACGTCTTTTGTGTCTTTGTAAATGTCATACTGTACGTTCTTGTTGGTGCTCGTCACCGCCCATAGATTGTTAATATCTACGTTTGGTGAGTATTTTAAAGCTGATCGAGAGACAGTTTGACATTGGATAAATTTTGTCGAAGGGAGAATAATATTCAGACCAAATTTATTTTGTGGAAACAACACGTTGCTAAGGGTTGCAGAGACAGGAAATTCCAGCCATTTTCGGATATATTTTGTCGCAATACTGTCTAACATTTCGCAGATCCAGGTCTTAGATATATCAGAAACAGTGAAATCCCAGGATATCTTTGACAGCAAGTAACGACTGTATAGTATAATTTTATTTTTCGGGTGTAAGGGTAGTTCATTAATTTTATTCATGATGAATAATAATAATAATAATAATAATAATAATAATAATAATAATAATAATAATAATAATAATAATAATAATAATAATAATAATAATAATAATAATTTTTTAAACAACAGAAATCTTTATTAATAACATGATAATTTATACAAATATATCACATAATTAGACTTTCAATTAAATCAGGAAAATAGAGAAACAGTTCACTATATTAGACAGATAGGTCCATTCTCTACACTTTATATCAATAGTAGCTAATAAAAATTCAGTAAGTCTAGGTTATTCCACGGCTTGTTTCTTCTGCAGTAAATGTAGAATGTTGCTCTCAGAGCTACCTCCATACATTTTTTAATAATACGTTCGTCGTTCATTTCAAGTGTTCGTAATAATCTACGAAATCTGTCAATATCTTTCGACACAAACCCTAGAGTGGTTACTTCAAGTGTAATAACTTCAAACGCATAACACGCCGTGATCAGCTCAGATCTTAGATGTCTGTATCTTTCTTTCTTGCGACGTTTAGCCTTCGTACAATTGGTTTCGTAGGGAACAGTTAATTCAACCACATATACAGAACCCTTAAAATCCACCACTTTATCAGGTCTTAGCGTTCGAAATAAAGTTGAAGTACAGGTCATACCTGAATTAGGACAGTCCGCAAACAGTCGAAGATCTGCACCAACTG